CACATAAAATTGAGAACACAAATCTTGAAATAATATAAAAGAATTCAAAGATTTACAAAAACAGGAAGGTTGGCGTGGATTTATTTTGTCCAAATCAGACCATTCTAATCCCAATAATTTCCTCAGTCTCCTAAGAGGACCTAACTGTGACTCTCACTAAGGCCTTGAGAGACACGTTGGTGAAGGGAATAGGAGCAACCATGAAAAACATTTTTTAAAATTGAGGTATAAGTAACATATAACATTGTATGTGTGCAACATGATGCGATTTTTATTACGATGAGAACTTGCTAGATTTACTCTTTTAGCAACTTTCAAATATGCAATAGAGTATTATTACCTATGGTCAACATGCTATACATTACATCCCCATGACTTACCTATTTTATAACTGAAAATTTGTACAATTTGACCGCTCTCACTAATTTACTCCATCCCCCTAACTCCATCTCTAAAAACCACCAATCTATTTTCTGTATCTATGAGCTCCATATTTTATTTATTTATGTAATTGTTTGTTTTAGATTCCACATATAAGTTTATTTCATGTAGCATAATGCCCCTAAGGTTTATCCATGTTGTCACAAATGATAAGATTTTACTTTTTTAAAAAGATTTTATTTGCTTCTTTTCAGAGGGAGGAGAAAGGAAAGAGAAAGAGAGGGGGAGAAACACCAGTGCATAGTTGCCTCTCACATGCCCCGATCTGGGAACCTGGCCCGCAACCCATGCGTGTGCCCTGACCGGGAATTGAACTGGAGACCTTTTGGTTCACAAGCCGGCACTCAATCCACTGAGCCACACTAGCCAGGGCTTTACTCTTTTTATAGCTGAATAATATTCATATATACCATATTTTCTTTATCCTTTCACCCACTGTTGGACACTTGGTCTGTTTCCATCTCTTGCCTATTGTAAATAATGCTGCAATGAACATGGAGCCCATATATCTGTATGAATTATTGTCTTCATTTTCTATAGATAAATACCCAGAAGTAAAATTCCTGGATCATATATGGTAGTTCTATTTTTAATTTTTTCAAAACTTCCATACTGCTTTCCATAATGGTTACACCAATTTACATTCCCACCAACAGTGCACAAGGGTTCTTTTCTCCCCACATCCTCACCAACACATATTTGTCATTTTGATAATAACTATTCTGACATATGTGAGGTGATGACATTGTAATTTTTATTTGCATTTTCCTGATGATTAATGATGTTGAGCATCTTTTCATGTACTTGTTGGACATCTGTATCTTCTTTTGGAAAATGCCTATTTAGATCTTCTGCCTATTTTTAATCAGATTGGGGTTGTTTTTGCTATTATTGAATTGTATGAGTTCATATATTTTGGATATTAGTACTTTATCAGATATATGATTCAAATATTTTCTTACATTCAATAGGTTGTCTTTTTATGTTGTTGAGGGTTGCCTGTGCTGTGCAGAGCTTTCTAGTTTGAGGTAGTACCACTTGTTTATTTGGGCTTTTGTTACCTTTGTTTTTGGCATCAAATTAAGAAAAATCATTGCCAAGGTCAATGTGAAGAAGTTTACTTCCTATGTTTTCTTCTAGGAGTTTTATAGTTTCAGGTCTTTCATTCAACTCTTTAATCCATTTTGAGTTAATTTTTGTGTAGTGGTCCTGTTTTTCCAGCACTGTTTATTGAAGAGACTGTCCTTTCCGCATTGTATATTTTTGGCTCATTTGTCATGACTAATTGGCTATATTTGTGAGGGTTTATTTCTGGGATCTCTATTCTGTTTCATTGATCTATGTGTCTCTTTTTATGCCAACACTATCCTGTTTTGATCACTATAGCTTTGTAGTGTAGTTTGAAATCAGGGTGTGCAATGCCTCCAGCTTTGTTCTTTCTCAGTATTGCTTTGGGTATTTGGGGTCTTCTGTGGTTCCATATAAATTTTAGAATTGTTTCTTTTATTTCTGTGAAAAATGCTATTAGAATTGGGATAGGGATTGCACTGAATCTGTAGGTTGCTTTGAGTATTATGGACATTTTAACAATATTAATTATTCCAATAATTGAGCATGGAATATCTTTCTCTTTATTTGCATCTTCAGTTTCTTTCATCAGTGTCCTGTGGTTTTCAGTGTACAGGTGTTCCACCTCCTTGGGTCAATTTATTCTTAGGTATTTTATTCTTTTTTGATGCAATTATAAATGAGATACTTTTCTTAATTTCTTTCTTATAGTTTATTAGTGTACAAAAATCAACAGATTTTTGTATATTGATTTAGTATCTTGCAACTTTACTGAACTTTTATTTGTTCTAACAGTATTGTATTTTGGAATTCTGTAGGGTTTTCTCTATATAATATCATGACATCTCAGATAGAGGCAGTTTTACTTCTTCATTTCCAATTTGGATGCTTTTTCTTTTTCTTGCTTAATTGCTCTGGCTATGACTTTAAATACTATGTTGAATAAAAGTGCCAAGAGTGGGCATCCTTGCCTTGTTTCTGATCTTAGAAAAAGAGCTTTCAGCTTTTTATCATGATTGTGGTATTAACTCTCTACTCATCATATATGATGCCCTTTATTATATTGAGGTATGTTCCCTCTGTACATAATTTTTGAGAGTTTTCATCATAAGTGGATGTTGAATTTTGTTACATACTTTTCCTGCATCTGTTGAGATGATCTTATTATTTTTATTGTTCATTTTGTTAATGTGGTATATCACATTGGTTGATTCACTGGTGTTGAAATATCCTTGCATCCCAGGAATAACTCTCACTTAATCATGGTGTATGATCCTTTTAATATATTGTGGAATTCAGTTTGCCATTATTTGTTGAGGACATGAAAAGCCACTTTTCTAAGCTGTGGAGGGTTATGGGAAATGCTATGGTTAAAATGGGTTCCTTATTTCAATGGAGATATCAGAATCTTGGGCTTGATAGAATCTTAATAACAGCACTTGCAGCAATTAACAACTGGAGACAAAATGGAAACAATTATAATAGAAGTATATATGTACTCAGAATAGGCTACAGAAATCTTTGCTGATGGCCAGTAAATCACTGGGCCCCATGTCTTCAAATTTTGGTGAACAATTAGGACAGTACAGGTACTGACTAAGAAAAATGAATGCCAGTGTATAAACTGATCCAGCCACAGCAGAGTATATCAGCTGAGTATCAGCTCAGCCTAGGTCTAAATATGTGGGCAACCTGTACAAGGCTACTTGCCATGTTCAACAATAGCAGAAAAGCCTGGCTACAGCCACCAGGATTGAGTGTCAAGGCCCTCACCACATTGCCAATCACGGATATGAATGATTGGCCTCAAAAGTGAAGAACCTTGTAGTACAGACGTTTCCAACACCTTCCTTTGTGGCTCCATTTACTAGGATAACAGTGTACTGCATGGAGAAAACCATTAGGCCTTTTGGAAATGATCTGGCCATAGTGAGAACAAATACAAATTTCTGGAGACGCTGAAACCATTATGATCTGTGTGACAAAGTGTAAGCAATAGGAGTAAATCCATCTTCTAGTATTTTCTGAGTGAAGAGTTAGAATTGAGTTGTTCATCATCTATGGCAATATCCCCACAGTGGATCCCTGTTGTATGAAAAAAGGATTATTCTGGCAGGAAGTACCAAATAACTTGCAGGGATAAGTCCCATCATTAAAAACTTTAAAATAAGCAGGGGTGTGATTCTTACCATATCCAGAGTTAACATGATCTTTGGCATGTGCAAGAGACAGATGGGTCTTTAAGAATAACAGCTGCTGTCAGACAAGTTCTTTTTGTTGGAGCAAATCAGTAGGTAGCTATTGATTTGGCCAATGATTTTTTGCTTGTTTCTCCTTTATTCCAGTAAGTAAAGGGCCCCAAAGCAGTTTGTGCTATCAACAAGCAACATTATAGATTTCCTTTTGCCAATGTTTCATTAACTCTCTGACACTGTTCCAAAATATAATTCATGTTACTAGACCTTAACTATCTCACCACTGTCCTGGGCATCATGCTGGTCTAATACATTAGTGATGCTGTGCTCATAGGACCAGGAGCATAGGTGTCACCAGGTTCCATGGATACCTGCTAAGATACATTGTGCCAAAGGGCAGATGATCAATCCAAAGAAAGCACGAGTGTGCTACCTCAGCCATGATTGTGGAGGTCTGGTGTCTGGTGTGTGTTGGAGTGTCCCCTCCATAATAACAAACAAATTGTGTACTTTGTTCCACCTACTACTAAGGGGGAACTGCAGTGTTTGGTGGGCTCCTTTGAATTTTGTGTCCATTGCTCAAACCTATTTATGTGCAATCCAAATGCTTCTAGCTCTAACTGATCTAAGAAAAAGAGAGGCCTCTCCAGCTGTTGCTGGCTGCAATGAAAGTAGTTCCACCATATCGATCTTATGAGGGAGATCAAATGGGCTCAGTTTTGAGGCAAATCAGGATTCTGTATAAAACTGGGAACTTTGAGCAAACCATGCCCTCTTCAGAAAATACCTATTCTTCTCACTGTACAGTGGGCTACTTCAGGTAAAAGCAAATGAAAGAAAATTGTCTTGTTCAAAAGGTCTGTGAAGACCTCAGATAGGCTCCCTCGGGGCCTTCTCAAGTTCGCAGGAGGGATGGATGGCATGTGAGTAGTCATATATGGAAACAGGTCCACAAGCAACATATTTCTGATTTAATGTGGGATGTTTCAGAGGCCCTTGTGTTGTGGTGCATCAAGTCACCTGCCCACTCCTCAATCCATTATACATGCATCCTCAGCCCTTAGCCTAGCATATACCAGACCAATAAGGAACAAAAAGCAAAAGAACATACATGAAGAAATGGTGATTTAATTCAGTATATTTTAAAGACACTGCCACATTTATAAAAGCATTCTTTTCAAATAACTTTTAAAAATATAACGTATGTATACAGTATTAGGATTCTTCAGTTACAAGCCACAGAGACTGAGTCTTTCTTTCAAGAATAAAAGGGCAGGCGTTGGGTAGCTCAAAGGAGGTGTTGAGCAACCAAGCATTCAGTAGGCCGGGAACGAAGGTGGCACTACGGATTTAAGAAGCAAGAGATCAAAATTATCTTTACGGGAGGCTGCCAGTGGGCGATTTAATTTTAATCACTTCTCCCAGACCATATAGAGAAGGGGCAGTTCCCCAAAGTCTGTGTGTGTGGAGTGCTATGTGCTTTTTTTCAGACTGAACAGACAAAACCAGCAGTTTACAGACACAGCTGAGTTTTGAATTATATTTGTATTTTTTCTATAAAATGTACACTTCTCTGATAATTAATGTCTATTGTTAGTGCTGCTGATAAGAATAAAGTATTGCTACATGCTCACGCTGGTCACATAAAAGTAGGTACTGAAAAATTATCACCAGAAATAGCTACCGAGGCAAACAAGATTGCATAAGCTACAATTTATTCCCTTCATTTGATATGTAAGCAATCTATTTTTTGTTCCATATTTCAGTTCTTTAAGTTTTTCTGTCACTACTTTTGCAAATTTAATCAGAAAAAACTGTGAGTAGATTAGGCACATAGGTGCTTGGCACATGTAATTGTCTCATTTCAAAGGAAGAAAATTAGTGGAGTTACATCTGTTTAGAGCCAAAAAGCTTATGAATGCTAATTACACTTAGATGGTTTGAGGGAGATTATGTGGGAAATTGACTTCTATATGAAGTTGTTTTCAGTCCACGGAAGTCTTACTTCTCCCCTTTTTTTATATTGGACAAAAGAGTGTAATGCGACGCTCTGGCTTGAGAACCAGCGACATCCAAGGCTAGGAAGCGCAGGCTGAGTGATCTGGCAAGGCAGGCCCATGGCAGGGTCTCTGAGCTGTACTCTGAAAGGAAACTCATTCTGAGCTAGGAGCATAGGCAGAACAGAAGCCTTGGAACTTGACGCACAGGACCCAGTTCTGAGGCTTCAAGATCACAAGAGTCAGTCTGCTATTCCCTTTGTCCTCGCCCAAGCCCCAGGACATGTATCTACATCTTAGACCCAGCGTAAACCCAGCATGAACGATTCATAAAAACAATTCTGTAAGCACGTGCAACAGTGATTGGCATCTGATAGTGTACCACGATATGGGCACTGAGGAGTTCCACTCCAAGTTAGTAAATCTCAGCATCCAACTTTGGCATCCTGAGGGGACCAGGACATCAGTGGGGTGCCTGGCACCCAGCAGGAGAATGAAATGCTCCCTGAGAAAGGGCAGTAGTACGCAGAGACCATGGAAACTAGAGAAAGTGCAGAGGGGGCTCAGGACACCCCTCGACAGAGAGGAGACTCAAATTCTTGAGCAGGGGCAGATACTTGGTAACGAAAAGGTTTTTGGCAAGGACCACTTTACTAGGGATTATCATTAAAATAAACTCTCATTTTGAAAAAGCTTGCTGAAGCCTGTGGCACTTCAGGTTTTCAGAAGAGATAACAATGACTTACCACCAAAATGTAGAGCTTGATGTTTTTTCCCCCAGTAAGGTGGTGGTCCAGAGGCACCCACACTGGTCCTCTCTCCACTCTCACGCTGGCACCTGGGCAAACATTGCCAGTATGCAGTATATGTGGAAGACTTCGTAGACGAGATACCATCTTTTTTTTGTGGATAAGAACTGAACTAAGAACATTGGTGTCATTAGTCTTAGTATCATTAATCAACTGATGTAAACAGCCAAAGAACATGTGGCGTCTTCATTACTGTTGGAGACCTCTGATTCCTCTGCCATTACAGATTGGGTCTGGTTTTACTGAGAAAAAGAAAACCTCAAAATGGAGAGTTTAACATAAGTAAGAAATGTAGTAAACATGTTCTCTGTTCTCATTTTAAACTTGATTTAGAATTCATCTCCAATGGAAGAAATAAAATGTGGTGTGTCAGCTGTATGCAAGCATCATGGAAGGGAGAGATGTTATTCCTGGTCATGAATTCAGAGCTGCCGTTGGATTGTTGGCATTAACTATGGGCTTTGGACTCCTCCTTAATCAAATCAGCTTCCCCAGTTGCATTGACTGCTTTTTATTGTTACAATTAAATAGTTTTCAGTTAACACAAGAACAGAGAGAGAACATCACGACTGCACTGTTACAAAGTTCAAAGGCCTATGTAAAAATTCTGGAGCTGGGTTTCTCACAGGAATACTAAATAGCCACCGGCCTTTTTATTTTTGTTTAACAGAAATACTGACTTGGTGAAATTACAAGGATAGGCCTTTTAATAGTTTCCTAGGAATCTGAACTTTTGCTTTCAATGCCAAATAATATCTGGAAAACATGCTCACTTTTGTGTTTTTTTAGAAATTCTAAAAACTGGCCCAGATTCATGTGATAGTCATTTCTTAACCCATAGTCACCATGGGCCTCAAGAAGTAATTCTTCAAAAGAATGGAAAAGACGCAGATCCTCCCCATTCCCTTCTGTTTCAATACTTTCAGCATGCTTACAGGAAATGTGTTTCCAATTAGGGTACCTAATTGTGTGCCAGAATTCCTCACAGTGCTCTTTGAAGCCCTCCACACAAATGATACCAGGCTTTCCGGTCATACAAAATCCAGTCACATCCAACCTTTTCCCAACATCCAAAATCTTTTTCCTTAGGTCCTGCTGATATATATGGTGGCTGTAGATCCACATTCGGAGAAATGTGTTCTTGACTGGCTTTGGTTGTGTAGATGGTTCGTAAACAAGCTTTCTGTTCAGGAAATAGGTGGCACTGTTGTCCTGTAACCACTGGATTGCTGCACATACACAGAGCTCACCTGGATCAAAAGTCCCTATATAAGAAGAGAGACCTTTGTTGAGAAGTAGCTGCTGTTGTCTGTCAAGCTCAGATGACCGTCCAAACAGCTGCAATGCTACGTAGGGGTAGCTGTGAGGCATGGTTACTTGCAAATCAATTTTCACCTTAAAATGAAAATCAGGTAGATTTAAGTACTGTAAAATCACCTAAGCTGGTTTATCAGTGGCAACTACATGATTTTATTAAATGTAATAGTTATTGCTACTCTTATCAGCTAAGTGCCAGACACCATACTAAGTACTTTACATCCACACCATTCCATTTATGCATTCATTCATCCCAACTGAACACGTAATCCACCTAACAATGTGCTGGATACCCTATGCTAGAAAAAAGAAGTGAAGACACTATTGCTGCCCTTGGTGAGGCCTAGATCCTAGTGAAGAAGACAGACATAAAACAAATAATTACACATAGCAAGTATTTAATTTCAATGGTGAGAAGCATGACTGTGGAAAAGTATAGGGGACCACTGAAATGTGGAACCAGGGGGACTGAATCTGGTCTGGGGACCCAACACATCTCTGAGGGAATGATAGAGGGTGAGTAGGAGAATATAGAAGAGTTATTCTCAAATGCCTAGTCCACTTGTTACCTAGGCTATGCTAATGCTGGAGATAAATGGATCAGAAGATGAGGTAAATTCATTTTTAGAATTTAGATTTGTTTATATTTGCTTTCTGTGTTTAGGTTGCCACCAAAGAAGCATTCATTTGCTCCCTAAAAGCCAGTTTTGCTGAATGCCACATTTAGATTTGTAAAAATCACATATATAAAAGACAGTCCATCCTATAATAGTTGGATGGGTAAGAAACTGGATGATTGAGCAGAATAATGGTAGTAAGATGTCTTTAATAAAAAAAAAAATTAGTCATTTGTTAAAAAAGGGTGTGCATGCTTATGTAAAATTCAGGATGTTTGTTGAAGACAATTTACAGGGCATCCCATATTTTACATATTTTGCTTTCAGACAACTAAAGGAAATACCCATCTGGAATATTCTCTATTTGTTTTCTGGACCGAAAGCTCATGTTCCAAGCGTTTCCAATAAAAACTAGGCCACTGGCAACAAAACAACTCAGGCCACTTACCTTGGGCTCCTCAATCTGGAGTGTAATCACAAATTCCATTTTTGGTGGCAGCGCCTCCCTTGTGCCTTCCAAATACCTCTTTATATTCGTCAGGGCATTTACATCTTCAAGTTTTACTTCTCCTTGGTTAGGAAACATAGAAAACAGCATTTCCATCTCCAGCAGCTGAAGCTGCAGGCACTCTTTCATAGGCGCGGAGGACATGTTGCCGTGAAATCAACCTGCCAGGAAAACTGGAAAGGCCCAGGGACACTGGGTTTGCCAGTCAGCAGTGCCCAGCGAAATCTCCCGAAGGCCCCTTTGCTCGGAAGCAGTTTTGCAGGAACGCTAGGCTCTAACAGATAGGAGGACAAATCGGGACGCTTAGGCTCTTTCTGCTTTATCTCCTGGACCCCAACGTCTAGAATGCGCAACATCCCCCAAGAAACTGTTAAAATTTAGATTCCCAGTCCCTTTCCCCTACTCCCGCTTCTGATCTAGATCCGGGAATGTGGTCTTTCAACAAGTGTTCCGAATTATTTCTCTGCAAGTGGTTGGCAAACACCTGCGGGCACTTTGAAAGCCTAAATTCTGGGATAGGCAAGGAGCCTAGTTTCTGAATCTCAGGTCGCTGGCGTGGGCGGAGCTGGATGCTGCGGTGACAGGGCTCCGCAGTGCCGTTGGGGCGGAGCTCTGGGTCCCCAGGCCCTGGGATCTCGAGGGCACCGCCGCCGCCGCCAACGCCAGTTGTCGCCTCTCGGACCCCTCGCCTCGCTGCTGGGCCTTTACACCTCCCCAGAGAACCACACCGGCCCGGAATGGCGTCATGAGAGCTCTGGACGATTTAGATCCATTTGCCTCCACTCCTAGAGGCCCAGGTTTAGGGGGGTCTACAGTTACATGAATGAGGTTAACAGGGCGGAGATGGGGCGAGAGTGGCGGCCCAAAAGGGCCTCCCGGAGTCAAAGATTTGGGAGATGAACCTCGAGAATCAAGAAGCGGATGCAGGAAATTGGGTGGCGTTCACTGTGGCCGAGAACATCTTGTCAGAGGCCCCAGATCAGACTGGCACTCCCTCCACCCCAACCAAGACCACTAGGATTCCCAGCTTCACACGACCGTGGATGGGATCTACCACCCCCAGACCGAAATTTAGAGGTGGGGCTGGTTATGTTCCGGTCGCTGTGCTCAGAGGCCCGCGACCCTCGGCCCCAACCCCTAGGCCACCGCGGAGGCCTCACCCTTCCTGGCCATTCATTGGAAATAGCCCCTAGCCCGCGCAGACCCTGGAGCCGCAGTTCCTGCCGGCGCAAGCGGCGCGCGATCCGTGAGGAGGCGGGGCGGGGCCAGCGAACCCTCTCCCACAGTGATTGGCTAAGGGGCGTGGAGGGGAGCCGGAAGCCACGCAGGGCCACGTCTGCGGCTCCGAAAGTCCCAGTGTGGTTTCAGGCGCCGCCGCGAGGCTGATTCTCCGCACAGTTGGAGGTGAGGGCGAGTCTCCTGGCAGAGGTGAGAGGGGCCCAGCGGCTTGGCGGCGAGGCAGGACGTTGCGGTCCACGGGGTTTCGGTCGCCCTACAGGTTGGTGGGTAGGCTAACGGACTGACATCCGACCGCGCGCAGGACACACCTACCCGCACTGCGCGTCGGGAGCGGACTGGTGGGCCGGCCCGGGGGTCTGATGCTGGGCGGTCTCCCTCAGGGGCGCGGGCAGGGTCTCGGGGCCTCGGGCTGGGAGGGGATAGGAACAGACGAGGTGTTGAGTTGGAATGGAGGGCAGGGGGACACTCAACATTTTCAGAGTGAACACTGTGGGCTTGGAAATGCTTTAAATAAAAGCGTTCACACACCCATTGATAGTAGTTTCAACACCTAAAACGCATTAATGGGTGGGCTCATCGTAACTTAAAAAAAAAAAAAGACTTTTTGGACTTAACACGACTGGTGTACGCCCTATGAATAATCATGACTTATTAGCGACTGCTCATTTTTTAACAAAATTTATTCTTGCTTGTGAAAGAGACTTGATCACTTAGGACTGAACTAAGTTAGCTTGCTGCATGCCAGCTTTTTCCAACTGAACAAAAGCAAACATTTTTCACCATTTCCTGTAGCTTTTGTTCATTGAAGCAATTAAGGACAATAAGGAAAACAAGATACAAGCCTACCTTATTTTATATAGCTTAGCCTTTTGCGCCTCACAGATGTTGTGCATTTTACAAATTGAAGGCAACACCCTCTACCAGCAAAAAGATTATGACTGGCTTTATTGCAATACTTGCTTTGTTGCAGTTGTCTGTGTCTAGACCCACAATATCTACCAAGTACTCCTGTGGTCAGGCTGGTAGCTGTGGGACTACTTCTCATCTGTTGGCTAATTGGAAATGGGAGTGACCCAGGAAGTTGAGTAGTACCCAACTGAAGTTGGAAGCCTCAAGTGCCACTTAAAATTGGAGTATCCCAGACAAGGAAGTGACTGGGTGGACTAAGTAAGGCTGTAGGGCTAAGAGCTGATGTTTGCCTTTTTTTTTTTTTTTTTTTTTTAATGTAAAAGGAAGATGTTGCCAGTTTCAGAGCTTAATTCAGAAGGATGTCCTGATCCTCCCTTATGAAAATAGAAAAATATGCTGTAAGGTATTGGAGAGGAGACTGTCACCCTTTGCTTTTCATCTGGGAATATGTCTCTGTAGGCTGGGAAGAAGTGCAAAAGAGCTGCACATACTTCCTAGATATTTTGAAAATGTGGGCCCAGCCCATCTGAGAATATGACCTTAGGCTGCAGTGTCACTGTCTGCCCATGCAAACTTAGCTTAGTTGACTGAGGCCCAGTCCTAAGCTGTCCTGTTTGTAAAATGAGGTGATCTTCGATCTCATAGGAATCTTTGAGTCTAGGTATGGAATCTTCATTTTAGTTGAGAGTGGACCATTTTAAATTTGCTGTGGGTCCAGGGATATCCCTGGAGCCAAAATGGGAGAGAAGTTGGGGGTGATCTGGTCTCTGCCCTGCAGTGACAATATAAGTGGGGCAAGATCCTCTGGTAGTACTAACTTCCGGGATTTTCTCTGTCATTCTTTTCTCTCTTAAAGATGGTGGTTTGGGGAGATTTAAAATGAGGCATGCCTCTTGGTTTGGGGTGGCAGTTTTTGAATCAAATCGTCCTTGAACAATTTCTTCATATGCCTGAAAAGTATTCCTTAATTTTGTAGACATGGATTTAGAAGCTATCACAAAACACTCAGTATTACATGCCAAGCCCAATGGACTCATTCTTCAATATGGGACTGCTGGATTTCGAACAAAAGCAGAGCATCTTGATCATGTCATGTTTCGCATGGGATTATTAGCTGTTCTTAGGTCAAAACAGACGAAATCTACAATAGGAGTCATGGTAACAGCATCACACAATCCTGAGGTAATGTATTTAGTACTCTAATAAAGAAAACCTTTATTTGCAATGCCAAACCTTGCTGTGTCTGGGCAGTTGGACCCAAAGTACAAATTTTCATTCTAGGAATGTGCTTTGTCATTGTTTTTTGCAGTTGGATTGAAACAACTTTTTCTTAAGAGTGGTCATTCAGCTCATGACTCTTAGAGGGTGTGGAGAAAATGAGATGAGACTGTTATTTGGGGGGGAGTGTCCATTTTAGAGAAATAACAGACTGTCCTTCCAAACTAGTTGTACACAGTATCAGTTATAAAAAGTCTTACTTCTATTAATTTCTGCTAAATTAATAGAAATTAATAGAGCCAAGGTGAAGTAGAGTAAACATTTGCAAAGACTTAGCACATTTTGAAAATTTTCAGACAGGTTTTTTTATTCCTAGGGAACATCAGTTTCCTGTTCTGAAGAAACAACTAAACAGGAGGTTCAAGGGATCCAAATGTGAACTTTGGGCAAAATATTGATGTGACCAGTGTCTTAGTGTTTATGACAATTTTTTATCAAAGTATTCCTTTTGACACAACTGTTTTCTGTAGCCCACTAATACAGGGTGGGGCAAAAGTAGGTTTACAGTTGTGAGTATGCAAAACAGAGTTTATTCTTGTACTATTATTTATTAATTTTTGTTTTATTTTCCACATAAACAACTGTTATATCTACTTTTGCCACACCTTGTATATGGTTTGAAGAATATGCTTCTGTTTGGTTGCTAGGGCATGAAATTTTTGCGTTTGTAGCTAAATCAACAGTAAGTTAAAGCTATGTAGGTCAGTGAAGGATTATAACCTCTTCCCTGCCCCCCCAAACAAGAGGACTTTGCTTGTCCAACTTATAAATGTGCGCCACTATAAATATGTGAAGTATCTAAATGTCTGAATTGCCATAATTGATTAATGACTTGTAGGCAGAACCTTATATTTACTGCTAGTTCTAGAAGAATTTCTTAAAACAATTCTGAGCTGTTTCCTTCAGTTGACATTCACATTAAACTATGCTTTATTTTTTCCAGAAATTTGAGCAGAATAGAATTAGGAGTCAGTTTTCAGCTTCTGTGCCACCCACTGGTTGTCACACTGGCCAGGACGTGCTTAGAATCTGGAGCTGTAGTGAGAAGGATCACTCGGTGCCCTCATTCTGTGCCAGCTGTGCCCTCCTCAGTTCATTGATGATTAATGCACAGGTGCTGGCCTTTTAAAACTAGTGTAGTCTATTGGGTAAGAGAATCAGATAGACTTAATCCTTTAATACCAGCACTGGCACTTCTCAGCTGTATGAATATAAGCAAATTACTTGATCTGAATCTTTGTTTTCTCAGATTAGAATAATACTAGGAACAATAGATTGATAGGCAGGGTCTTGAGGATTTACTGAGCTAATGTATGTTAAAGCCTGGTCTAGTGCCCAGCATTCAGTAGGGGTCACTGGTGAAGCTGCTCAGACATCACTGTCTTTTGTGGAGGAAAAACAGCTTAAGTTTACTTCCTCAACTCACCCTTTTGAATTTGCACAGATGGATTATCATTTTTCTTTTAAGGAAGACAATGGTGTCAAATTGGTTGATCCCTTGGGTGAAATGCTGGCACCTTCCTGGGAGGAACATGCTACCTGTTTGGCAAATGCTGAGGAACAAGATCTGCAGAGAGTGTTGCTGGACATCAGCAAGAAAGCTGCTGTGGATCTGCAACAAGATGCCTTCGTAGTGATTGGGAGAGATACCAGGTGATCATCTGAGTTACTGGTGAAAGCAGCTTTGTGAACTCGGTATAAATGATTCCATCAGTTTTAGTGCCCATGCCACGTGGAAAGAAACACAGTAGGACCGCCCTGAGAGGCTTTCTTCCCACCTGGCCTTTGTAGTAGGATGTGGGAACTAAGTCACCACTGCACCTTGGTTTTTGTGGTTCGAGTTTGCAACTTGACCACCACCTCTAACACTTACAATACACGTTAATCTATTGGAGCTTCCCTTTGCTCATCTCTAAAATGTTGATGATAAGGCCTAATGCAGGGTTTTTCTGAGCCTTACATGAAATAATGTATGCAAATATTTATCTCCTAGCACGGGAGAAGCACTTTACAAATGTTTCCCACCCCTTGTATAAGTTTACTTTTTTCCCTTATACAGTAAGAACACATGATTTTAGTTCATTATTTGTAGAGATTGATTTTATAATCTGTGTCATTGTTGCTTCATATATTTGTATTATTTTTCCATGTTGGAGTTCACTGTAAAATAGTAACACTTCATTTTTACAAATTTGTCATATTTGGCAGCTTTTGCCTTCCTTTACAAAAAGATGTTTTCATAAAGCATTAAATTAAAAGTGTACTTTGAAACAAATATTCACTTTTACATAAGATCTGATTTTAGCCAGAGATTCTTTCTAAAGGATATTCTTACTCAGTCTCTTAATGCCTTTTACCCTAAAGGGACCCATGTTTTACCCTTTAATATGTTGTCAGAGGGACTTCCAAATACCACTGATTCTGTAATCACAGGTATTTGTAGATAGCAGAAGGAGTGTAGTGACTTAGGTTCTGAAGCAAATTATCTCACAGTAAAGCAATCCCATGTGTATTTGCCTCTTACTAGTTTAAATGATATAAAACATCTTTTTCTACAAGGCAGTTATATAATCTACTTTATTTTCAGATAGATAGTAATTTTTCTGATGTTTTAAAATGAAAAATGAGTTCTGTATCCGTGGTGGTATAATACCCAGTACTGCATTACGAACACTGTACATTCAGCATTTGTTACTTTTCTTAGGCAGTGTATGTGCAGTTATTGCCAAACTTGAAAAAGCACTTGGGTATGGTGTAATTATTGTGTTCTTTATCTATTTTCTAAATTCACTTAAAAGCTAGTATCTTTCCAAGAAATAACATTATGAAAGACTACTTATACTTTACGGAAATAAGTTTTTCAGAGTTTTCAGATTTGTAGGTCTCAGTTCAAATGCAATGAACTTATTATTCTGATACTTGTAGCACATAGTTTCAGCATTTGCATCCAGAACTAGCAACCATGTTGGTTTCAGGATGGGATGTATTTTTTTTCCCTTTTCTCTCCTAGGCCCAGCAGTGAGACACTGTCACGGTCTGTAATAGATGGCGTCACTGTTTTAGGAGGTCAATTTCATGGTATGTAGTTACCCTGAGTTGTAAATCAATCTTTAAAAACTTTTTAAAAAATTACAAAAGTAATACATACTTATTTTAGAAAGGTTTGAAAATATGATTTAAAAAAAGTTTTAAAAAATTAACTCCTAGATACAAAATACTAGCTTTTAAAATTAAAAATAATTAAAAATTTTTTCTGGGCATGCATATTTTGTTTATATACAGAATATATATGAAACACATCTTAGACAACTGTAGTAAGGCTGAATATCTTGATTTAAAACTCCTTGTACTTACTTGAAGAAATCCATTCAGCAGTTTTTGTCAACATTAGGTACTCCCTAATAGCTGATCACTGTTGTATAGTGATGGAAAATATCTTTGGTCTACTCATAATCATGATTTTAAGTTTTGACAGGCTTTTTCATTTTAACAAATAAAAAAGTATTAAATGCAACAAAACGGGGGTTAGAATCCTCTTCTTAAACTTCGGTTTTTGCCCCTTGTGAATTCAATAACTCCATTGTACTTAGAGGTGAATTTTCCTAGTGGCAGGTCTTTGTCATTTAATAATTTCTTCTCTTGACCTTTTCAACCTCCTTTTCAGCCCCTGTGTCTTCCCTTCCATCACAGTTCACCTGGCCTCTTCCAGTTGTGCACTTGGCTTGCTTCTCTCTCTGCTCCTCCTGTCATCCCTTAGCCTGCTAAGGCCAGTCTCCGTCCTTACGCCTCCAGTGCCGTGTCTCCTGACACTCATCGGAATTCTAATTGCTAAATCCAATGGCTCTTGTGAAAGTGGGGATTCTCAACCTGGGCCCCGGGACCAGTGCGGGAGTCCGTAGTTAGGCTGCAAGGACCCTGTATTCCTCTCAATACAGTGTGTATAGTGTAAACTGCACACGCACTTAGTTTCTAGGGAGAGAATTCATAGCTCTTGTGAGATACCCAGAGGGATCTGCAACCTAAAAATAGCTTTCAGAATTTATATTTTGAAATTTTTATTTCAATTGATGTCTTGGTAGCTTTCTGTACTGTGACCTCCCTCTTTCTTTAGGCTTCTATTTCCTTGGCCACTGTTCCTTACTGGTCTCTGTGGGCGCCTCTTCTATCTCTTGATATGACCATGTCTCGCTTCTCTCTTTCACTGCCTGATGTCCGAATGACCATCTTTACTGCCATAGCTCTAGCTGCATGTATTCTTTTATTTACTCATTTATTTATTCATCAAACATTTCTGAATGCTTGTTATTTACAACTCTCCAGTATATTTCACTGCATGTCACAACCCATAGTATGAAACCCATTTTGTATCATGATTATATATGTGTGCTTGTGTGTATAACTAAAAGTTTCAGTAAATAATACCTCTAATACACAGTATGCATTTATCTGTTTCATTAGGAAATGCAGAAGTGCTGGTCTGTCTTAGTGGGTTCCATGACCCACTGAAGACCAGCCTGCAGCTTGTAATGCATTGGTCTGAGTGATGCCTCCCCTAGGTGGCCCGCCCCTACTCTGTATTCACTCGCCCCAAAACTCTTCTTCTAGCATCCCTAGAATGGTGGCTATTTTCAGCACTTTGATTTCTTTCTCTATAACCATTACTTTTTTACTGTTTACATTTAAGAATTTTTTAAGTTTTTTTTAAAACTTCATTTCTCTCTTCAGCTTAAGAATATTTCAGAAAATGAAAGAAAGTTAATGGAGTTGTAACACAGGGAGAATGGGGGAAGCTAGTGGAAGATACCATTAGTGAGGTAAGCAGGGGCCAAATCATTCCAAGCCTTATAGGTCCTGGTAAAGATTTGGGTTTTATTCCAATCGCAGCAGGACTCCATTAAAAGATTTTATACACAAGAATATAGTCATGGTTTCATTTTAAGCCAGTCATTCTGGCACTTGTATAGAGAGATAGGAAGATGGTAATAAAGGGAGAGAGACCAGCTAGAGATGGTACAAGGGTGATGATAGCGAGAGAAATGGAAAAATATTTAATTCAAAGGATTTTGTGATGAGATGAGGATAGAGCTGTAAAGAATGGCTTTTACATTTCTGAGTTGATCAGTGGAATAGATGGTTGTGCTTTTTATTGAGTAACTGTGTATAGTCATTTAGTAAATATTTACTTGGTAATTTTGCTATTGGTCACAACATTTGTTTCGTCCTTTACTATGTGTTTTAGAATAGTGTTTTCCCCTCCATATACAGTTCCATTGAGTTGGTGTAAGCTCTTATCCACTCTTTTGAGTTTCTCCATCTCCTCTCATCTAACCCTTATACTGGAGCCAAAGTTGTCTTCATAAAATACCAGTTCTGTTGTGAGTGCAGGGCTCAAGAGCTCATTGAATAAAATGACTTTTTGCCTCCAGTGCAAACTCTAGTGCATGACTTTGAAGACCGTCAACAGATTCAGTCATTGAATATTTATTAGATACTGGTGCCTTTCTGCCATTTCTCCAGTTCCTTGTTCATGGTGCCTTTTTTGTATGTGTATAGATTTTTGACTAAGCTGTTTGAGGTTTTTTTTGAAAAATTATGGGACATTTTTGAGGTTTATGATGAAGGTAACTGTCTCTGGCAGAGTTTATTTAGAGCTTGCTTCTGCTGAGAGTACTACCTGGCTGGTTGGTGACACGGTTCTTTGATGACAAGGTTCTTTTAGAGCTGTGTGTCATGGGGATTTGGGCTCGAAACCCTTAGGGGGCCTGTGCTTGTGGTTGTCCTTGCAGCTCTTCAGCCTGGGTGTTCTCCTCTGCTGGACAGCTTTCCTTGGGAGGCAACTCTTGATTCATTTTTGATTCACTTTTGATTCACTCTTGCACTGAAACAGAATGAGGACCTGGTCTTCTCCTGAGTTCCCCATGTTAGACCAACATGGACTTTTTTGCACTGAAAACCATAGCTCAATTTCAAGTTTTGAGGAATGCCCAGAGAATAAAACGTGTTTCCTTGGCTCCAATCTTGGAGTTCCTCTGTGTACATAGATTTTGGCCTACTTCCCCTGCAACGTGTTGGCACTGTAGTTCTTTTTAAAAAAAGAGTTTTTATCTAGCATTTTGGTTGTTTGTAGGAGTGTCTATCTTAATTACGTATTTTGTAATGTTACTAGAAATAGTACTCAATTTGTGCTTTTTGGCATTGCCCTGTTTTTATTATTACTTGTCTATACTGAGTGCTTTTGAACCAAAAGGAGTTCATATTTTTTTTAGCATTGAGCTTGTGTCCAATGTGTATTTTTTTCTAATACCACCGAACAGTTAACTTAGCTCTGACGCTACCTACCTGGAGGTAGTGCCTGATCCTACCTCTGTCCTGTAAGACCGCCATTCCCCCGCCCACTTCATTTCCCAGTCTCCTGGGCTTCTGACCAGTCTGGCGGGTCCTACAACCCCCTCCTTGGATTCAGTTAATTTGCCAAAGCAGCTCATAGAACACCGAGAACCATTTTACTTCCTAGGTTGCCAGTTTATTGTAAAGGATTTAACTCCAGAACAGCTAGGATGAGACGATGCATAAGGTCAGATGTGTGGAGAGGGGCTCAAAGCTTCCATGCTCTCTGAGCTGCCACTTCCCCTTCTCCGTATGTTCACCCAGAGCCCTGTCCTTGCTGGTTCTTTGGATTTTCCTGGAAGTGTCATTATTTAAGCATGAATGATTAAATCATTGGCCATTGGTGATTGAGCTTCATCTCGAGTCCCTCCCTGGAGTTGGCAGGTGGAGGGGGAGGGCCAGAAGAGCCAGCCCTCTGATCCTGTGATTGGCTCCCCAGGCCAGGCGGCCTTAGGTTGCCTAGGGGCTTTCCAGGTGCCACCTTTTTAACGTAACAAAAGATACCTTATTGCTCTCTTTGCTTAAGAAATTCCAAGAGTTGAGAAGCTCTGTCCAGAATGGGGACAAAGACTAAATATATATTTCTTTTCTTTTCTTTTTTTTTTTTTTTGAGCACTGTCTAAGTCTATATAACGGCTTGTCTCATGGAGGACAGAGTGCTGGAATAGGTCAGACTCTGTTACTATAGCAAGCTCAAATTGTGTCAGACAGTTTTGATCATCTGCCACAGAGTTAAATATATATTTCTTGCTATAAATTATAACATCACTGTGTGACATTGGTTATGTATTGGTAATAACTTCAATGGATATTTGTGCTGTGTGAAAGTTAGCATTTTGTGTTTTCTGAGATGTCTTTTGGCACCCTAAAATTTCTACAGTATGAATCCATTTAAACCTTTTTTTCTTTATTAAGAAATGTGGTAAATTGCTTTTTGTATATCTATGGCAGATTACGGCCTTCTAACGACACCCCAGCTGCACTACATGGTGTACTGTCGAAATACCAATGGCCAGTATGGAAAGGCGACCGTAGAGGGTTACTATCAGAAACTCTCGAAGGCCTTTGTGGAACTTACCAAACAGGTGAAAATTTGAATGTGATTAGAGTTTAAGCAAGTGAATGAAATAACATCAATTGAACAATTATTTTAATTACATAGTTTTTCACTCTTCCTTTTTCCAAAAATTTGGCCTATCTTTTTCTTTCCAGGGCTGCACAGTTCTGGCCCTTGTATCCTTACCGTGTGTGGGCATTTTCTTGGCAAGCCATGTAATACATTCTGAGAGCTCGGGCGGGGGCGGGGGCGGGGGGGGGGGACAAACATGGTGGTGTTCTTGTGCTGGTAAGTATTCATTCATATGAATTTACTGTTAAGCAAGTAGGTGTTATTGGCATCACACTTGAGGCAGCTACTGTTGAGAAGATTTTCCTTAAGGACATTGGCTTGTTAAACCTGGATGAAATTTGAGGAATATAATTCACTTAATCAACAAATATTGAGTATATGTTATTGTTAGGCACAGTAATCCAAATCAAAGCCCGTGCTCTCACAGAATTTATATTCTGAAGTGAGGATGGGTAGGAAGGGAGGCTGACAATTAGAAAAAAACAAACAAAAATGTCCAGTAGTGGTATATGCTATGAAGAGAATGACAGATGTTTTTACTGCTCATTCTATCTATATGCTCATTCCCACATTTGAAAGACTGTCGTGTGATATGGATTATAATATTATTTTTAAGGAACCCTACTTAATTGAGGCTAATTCTAATCAAGCTTGACCAAGGGGGGAAAAATTATGAGATGTGCTAAATTACAGTGTCCAGAGAGTGAGAGAGACAGAACAGGTAGCCTGTTAATAGCTGTGGACCAGCTAACAAAAGACTGCTCACATTCAGGTGTGTCAGTTGGGACTTCAGTTTAACTTCCAGGTGCTGCATCTGCGATTATTCTAAAGAGAATAGCCAGGTGTCTTCCAGCCCCAGGAGCCTCTGCCTCTTATTTACACAGGAACTTCCCAGACTTGCTTGCAGCCTGTCTAGGGGAGCAAACACTGCTTATTTGGACTCTGCATCTATCCCAGAACTGCCCCTCTTCTCCTTCTCCCAGTCCCTTTGTCTGTAGCTAATGAAAATCCCTTCAGAACAGTTTACATCTTTCTTCCCTGTATGTGATGTATAAAAACACTTGCAAAACTGTGGGACAGTGGTCCTCATGTTTGTGTTTTCAGTCCAGCTATGCTGCTAGGGCTTTAGACTCAGTGCCCCAAGGCAGGTTGTCCTTTTTTTTTTTTTTTTTAAATCTAGCAGTGGCTTTTAGCCATAAAAGTTAATTTTTTATTTAACAAGCTCCATTTCCATAAGTCAATCAGTAAAACTGTTCCAATATCTAAGTGCTCAAAAAATGTATTTAAAAATTTACTGTGAGGTTTTATGATTTTCATCTGAATGTGTGTACTCTGTTGTTTCTTGGTTTGGAATAGATGAGCTAACTGAAATAATGGAGGATGTTTACAGATACATATACATGCTTTATGCTTCACTTTTTCCTGTAGAACCTGACATTTCTCACCCCTGCGTCTTTTTGTTCTAAGGCTTCCTGCCATGGAGACGAGCACCCACCCCTTAAGGTTGACTGTGCGAATGGCATAGGGGCCCTGAAGCTGGGAGAGATGGGGCGCTTCCTCTCCCAGGGGCTCACGCTTCAGCTGTTCAACGTTGGCACCAAAGGGAAACTCAATCATTTATGTGGGGCTGACTTTGTGAAAAGTCATCAAAAACCTCCACAAGGTATGTAAGGAGATTTGTTTCTGGAGCTTTGAAACCAGCATTATTTACACACGGAAGTGGCCAAATGAGTTGCGAGTCGTTAGCTGGTGGTTGATGTACCACATTGAGACATCGGGCGTATTTCCCCTCGTCAGCGCCATTCCCTGCACAGACCGCTCTCTGCCTGGAAGCCACAGGGCGCCTCACAGCCTGTGGGAAGCCGGTGGGGAACGCAGAATCAGAATGTGGTAGTCTGGAGACCTGTGTTGACATACAGGTTTCTGGGCTCTACCTCAGGTTTCTGATTCTGCAGGTCTGGTGTAGAGTGTGTATAGCAGAGAAATTTACATGTCTCTCACATGCCCCGGCTCTTTTGATAGAGCTGGTCTGGGGACCACACTTTAAGAATCTAAAGGGCAGCAATAGTTAAGTAGCATTATTTTTCATTTCAGAATTAGATACACTATAGAAAGAGAATGGAACTGCTGAATGGTAATTGTTTCCAAAATCAGTGTTTTCCACTGTAGGCATGTTAGGAAGAAGACTGTTCTTCAGACTGTGGTTGTAGTAAGAGGTATTCTATAGTTAGCTGCATTATAGATCAGATATTGTTAGCCTGTCTTGCAAATGTGTTTTGTTTGGCTTATTTTATGTGTCTGTGTGTTTAACTGCATTCGTTACCACCGCTTAAAATGCTTTGATTTTGCTTCAGTATTGGAATCTGGCTTCTCCTCACCAAAATTAGAAAAGGTCCTTTCTCACTTAGCTGGCTGCAGCGGAGGAGCCCGCAGCCCCTTCGGGCAGGACCTGCGGTCTTCAGAGCTCAGCAGGTTTTTTCCCTTGGCCTCTCTCATTGATGTTATTTTCTGCCTCACTGTAGAGTAAGCATTTAAATCTTCAGTTTAATTAACTAACTTAAGCTCCATTTCATTGTATTGCTAGTTTTGACTGTTACTTCTCTGACACTTCAGTTCTCTGTCCCTGATCTCTCCATTCTGTGAATCGTGAGCTCTTTTTCTCTTGCCGTCAGCACTGGGGCTGCAGTGTGACCGAACCGTAAGCCCTGGCTTTCTGGGAGCTTGTGTCGTACCTGTAGTCAGCCTCATGTTCATATTCCAGACGGAGTCTCTCATTGGTTATAATTCTGTATTTTTACTTACCAGTGTTTGTTGTTATTTATGGTGTGCACAAATAAAAATCACTACTATCCAAATTAAATCAAAGCACATACCTCATCTATTGCTGATTATTTTTTATGTGTAAAGGACATCGTAGGACTAGATAAATTTCATTCAGAAATACCTGAAGCTTTCAACAAACTATATGGGAACCTGTCTTGCCAAACCAGCTGGCTTATAAAAATAGGATTTTATTTTAGCATTATGTCGTTTCAGCATAAATAGATTTTGAATGCTTCTTTTTCAGTTAGCTATGAAGGAATTTACTTCACAAAAACTACCAACAAGTCTGCATACTGTTTGAAGTTTAGGACACTGGTTTTTATTTGGAACAATAGTTTCAAGTACTTTTTAAATAATCATAGTGGACATGCTTATATGAAACACAGAAGGACAATTATGATTATACTTTAGTGAAAACATTTTCCCTTATAACTAGTATAAGGAAAAAACCTAAAACTTTCTATATTGAGTTGTATTTCCAGTTTTTAGGCTGAAATGCATTTTTAATTATTCTGTGTGCTAGGAATGGAAATGAAGTCCAATGAAAGATGCTGTTCCTTTGATGGAGATGCAGACAGGATTGTTTACTACTACTATGATGAGGATGGCCACTTTCATCTCATAGACGGAGACAAGATAGCAGCGCTCATCAGCAGTTTCCTTAAAGAGCTCCTGCTGGAGGTACGGTGGGGAGTGACTGACTACCCTTTCAAACAGGACTTACTGGTGAAATAGTTCTGTAGCAGTCAGTTGAATGTCTCAGAGGCAGAATTTTGGGGAAATGCCTTACATTTGTAGCTAGAAAGTATATAGAAAGAAATGCTAATTCTAGTCATTGCAACTCTGGGGAACTGGTTTTGGAATCTGAAGTTACTCTTTTTTTCCTTATACTGGAAAAGTTTTATGATATGAAACTTTATGAAGTTTTGGTTTCTTCATAACTGACACTTTAATAATGGCAATTCCACCATAACTCCCTACCTCAAGTTTGAACAGAAAATATCCTATGAGAGATTTTGGATTTGCTCATTGTGAAAACCCAGGCTAGCCTTATAAGATATAAAGGGAAGTAATTATTAAGATCCGGAAAAGGTATACTTCAAGAACTCAATAAATACTTTTATTTAAAAAATGAAAGAGATAAAGATCAAGAAGCCACAGGCTTTTTTATAAAGGACTCCTTGTATAATTGCTTTAAATAATGCCCTACAGAGATTACAGTGTATCTTCTTCAGGATTTTACCTCATACCAGGTCTTCTAAGTTATTATGAAATATTCTTTATTCCCCAAGCTTAGATCACATTTTTGCTGGACATTTGCTCAAAGTGCTCTCTGTAGGTAAAATATCCTCTTACCCCTTGATATTGATTTTACCTTCTCCAATAAACCTTTGCAGATCCTCTTAGTTTAAAAAAAAAATATATATATATATATGCCCTAAAGTATTTTAACTTTTTTTTCTGGTCTACATGTAAATTTTCATTGAGTCATTTATTGCATAAGCCAAAGCACTGCTGGATTTGCAGATAACTTTGTCATCCATTAGAACTTTGCTTTTGTAATGTCTTTTCTCTTCTTTTCTTTTTTGCGGTTTCAGTTTGCTTTTATTTATTAATTAAAAAAATTTTTATAGTGTGTTTTGATGTCATTGTTTTTGTCTAGATTGGAGAAAATTTGAATATTGGCGTTGTACAAACTGCATATGCAAATGGAAGTTCAACACGGTATCTTGAAGAAGTTATGAAGGTACTGAACCATTTCTGTTTTCTGGTAGTTTCTTAACTCTGTTGTAAGATATTTCTGTGAGGAAGATAATACCCTCACATATGTAAATAAATTGTAGTGTATGAAGCTGAACTTTTTCCCCTGTAAGGGTAAATAGAAATCAAAAGAAAAAATTGAATTGTCCCTGATGCAAAAAGAGACTGGCTTTCTGTTTTTGCAGCCCCTTAGCAGAGTTTCTGTGATGTGTGTCACAGTCTGGCACAATACTTAGTAATAAAACTGTGTTCTTAGTTTTCTGGGTTGATAGATTTTGGTTCTAATTATTTCCCCGGCGTCCACCAGACAACCACCCTCTGCATCACACAGCTCTAATGAAGTGTTAGAGGGTTCATGGCCAAAATTGGGTCTGTTTGCCTTTACTCTTTTTCTCACAGGCTACTGTGATATTTTCCAACTTTTGTGTATACCTTTTTAAGTTCCTGCATTTTGCTAGTTATTTTTGCCTTTCCATTCATTTTAAAGCAAGAATGTCAAAGCAAGATTCCTGTGGGATCTGGGTAGGCGAAGTGAGTACAGCAGGTAGACAAGGCCTAGGAAGAGTGTGCCCAAGCCAGCGGCTCTCACCTTTAGTCAGATTCTTCAGGGGAGACTGAAAACATGACTTTTCATGTGAATTTCGTACTTGCTAAGTCTTGGCAACTGATTTAAAAGAAATAGTGTCCAGGCACACTAAAACACATCTGGAGGCTGGAGTTTGTGACCTGATTTCAGGGTTGGGCAAAAGGAGGTTTACAGTTGTGAGTACGTGAAACAAGAGTTTTTTCTGGCATTATTTATTTTCCATATGAACGACTGTAAACCTACTTTTGCCCCACCCTGTGTACTGTTACAGTAGTTACTCAAGGGACTCCCGTCTGCAGCCTAGTTGCCTGCCTTTCGTGGGCATTTTTCAGTACTTGGGGTTGTTTTAGTATTTTAATTATAATTTTCTATCTTAAAATTTCTTACAGGTAAGATACCCTGTTTAAGAAACTGAGTATGTCTGAACTGTTACTTTACAACCATTTTCTAATGGATTAAGTACTCTTACCCCTAACAATTTCTTAGGTTTCCTAAATCCAATCAGATATTGATCTTATTTGATGATCTCTTTTTTTTTTTTCAGTTTTGTACTATCAGTTTTTTCTTAACCACTTTTATCAGCTCTGTTAAAGATTTTCTCTACCCATGTTGAGTGCAACCACCATAACTTCTTCCTGGGTTTTAGTCCTAGAAAGCTCCTAGGGAGGCCTTCTTAGCAGGGGGTTAACAAACAGTGGCCTGGGGGCCAAAACCAGCCTGCCACCCATTTATAAAGTTTTATGGGAATGCAGCTGTGCTCCTTTGGTTTTGTATTGTCTGCGGCTTTCTCACTTACAATGACAGAATTGAGCAGTCATACCAGAGACCATATGGCCTGCAAAGCCTAAATTATTTATCTGGCCCTTTACAGTAGAAGCTTGCAGATCCGTACTCTAAGCCCCTCTCCATGCTGGAGCTAAGCTGAGCTTTCCAGAATAGATCGTCTCTCTCCTCCCCTATGTAATCTTCCATGAATTTATAAGGGGGCCCTCATCTCTCTCACCTTGCTTTTCCCTCGTCTTTGTGCATCTGAGTGCCCTCTCTTCTCCATAATAGCAGCCACTTTGGTTTTCATTGCTTTGTCTTCCTCACTAGCTTAAGATCCAGGTTTTGTTCCCCATTGTATTCCTGGGTGGTTCGTGCACAGTAAATTTGCTGATCGAATAACTGCTGTTGTGTTTCTAAAAATGTCTTATAGGTACCAGTCTATTGTACTAAAACTGGTGTAAAGCATTTGCACCACAAGGCTCAAGAATTTGATATTGGAGTTTATTTTGAAGCAAATGGGCATGGCACAGTAAGTTCTCTTAAACAATTAAAGCTTTGGCTGACACTTTTTTTAGGATGGTAATTCTGTACCTGGGTAATGGTAAGTGATATTCTAGTTTGTTGAAATGATTGGGATGGTGGTAAAATTTGATGATTTGGTTAACTTACTATATTTTTATGTGTTGTGAAACTGTGGCTCTCTTTTAGAGTACATGATATCTTTTTGAGTGTGAAGAAATGCTTATTCCTTCTTACAGTATAGTTTCTTACAAAAATATTTTTGTAAATATATTTCTTACAAAAATATATTTAATTTTTTATAAGCAGGTTATATATATTTCTTAATTTTTTATAAGCAGGTTATATATACATCATTTAAAATATTTTTTTCAACTGGCCATAGGTGGTAAAAGGAAAGTACAGTAGGTGTGGTAGATTGAAAGGTGTTGGATAGCTTGAGAATTAAGTTATAAACAACTGGAAATGAGTTTAAAGTAATTGGCAATAAGCATATGTATTTTTTTATGGTGTCCTTGACAGAATGTTCTAAAAAGTTTTTTGAGATAGAACTCATCTACCATAAAATTCACAATTTTGAAGGTGTATTAAGTGGTTTTTAGTATGTTCATAAGGTTCATAATTTTTCTCTTACTGTTTTTTACCTTACCTCATTTCGTCCATGGATTTGAGGTGGCCAATACAAATAAAGTCAAATAAGTTTCCTCATTAATTTCAAAATTGACTTCTAGAGGCAATGAATGTATGTAGAAGAAAAATACCTTCTTAGAAAATACAAGCAAAATGTAACTGCAGTGGTCTAATGCAGGGGTTGGAAAATGAACATAAAGGGCAGATAGTAAGTATTTTAGGCTTTGAGACTATAATGTCTCTGGTGCAGCAGGTCAGCTCTGCTGGTGCAGGGTAAGTGAATGGTTATGGCTGCGTGTGGGTCAAACAGGTGACCAGCCTGCACCTTAGTTTGTCAACAAACAAGTATTTCAGCGAGTGGCTGAACATGGTATGCTACTCCTCCTTAGTACTAGGCATCTGAGGGCACTAAAATCATGGGCTGGGTTCTACAAAAAGATAGAAATCCTGAGGAGCATGATGTATAATAAACATTCATGGTACTGTTTGCCATAATGTGGTAAATGAGGTTTTTTCCTACTTTTGCTTAGTTTTTATTTTAAGGACAAAAAAATACACTAGTTGCAATGAATTATGTTCTTCAAGGTAAAATGGATATGTAGGCTTAAGGAACCTGGCTGAACAGAGCCAGTTTATCTGGCTAAGAGGCAGCCATAATGAACCTATGAATGTGATCACCTTCACCAAGGTGTGGTGTTTTCTTTGTAATCTGCGTGTGTGTGTATGTCTGTGTGTGTGTCCTCACCCAAGGATATTTTTTCATTGGTTTTAGAGAGAGGGAGGAAAAGAGAAACATCAATGTGAGAGAGAAACTGTCTCCTGTATATGCTCTGACTAGGAATTGAACCTACAACCCTTCGGTTATGGGCTGATGTTCCAACCAAGTGAGCCACACCAGCCAGGGCAGGTCTTTGAATTTTGATAACCAGTTTTATAATCCATAAAGGAACTTTCTTCCCTAGTAATATCTTTTGGATTCTGCTTTGATCTCATCTTAATTTTGTACCTTATAAGGCTGCCATTATTTTTCCCCTTAAGTTTCTCCAGATTCATTAAGAGTTTCAAAAGTGGTTTAGCTAGTATGATAGTACTTACGACTGGGTCTGTGATAGTGTTTTCTGATTTTTGTACACTTTCATTGCAGGTACTGTTTAGTAAAGCTGCTGAAATGAAGATAAAACAACTAGCAAAAGAATCAGAAGATGAGAAAAGGAAAGCTGCTAAGATGCTTGAAAACATCATTGATTTATTTAACCAGGTAGAACTGATGGGGTGGAGGCTCTTGGTTACTTATTCAGAAGGTGGGCAGAATAGTGGGCTGCATACAAAAAATTAAAGTGGTCCTTCCTCACAACAGTGGTACATACAGTTGAGATTTACACTGACAGGTCAATGACAGAACATTTATGTGCTTCATTCACCCTGCGCTTTTTGATGAAAATTTTCAAGTATAATGAGTAGCTTCCACCCAGAGACAAATTAGATTCAGTTATTGAGTGTGTATATGTGACTAAACATATTTTCTCAAGGAAATTCAGGAAAAACAATTGGTTGTCTCACATGGGTCAGATTGTTGGGACTGGAATGTAGCTGAGGGCAGTGGAAGGGCAAGCAAAGCATAGGACATGGCAAAGCAGTGGAAGTAACATTGATCATCATGTGCATTTTGGGCACTTTACGTACGTCATCATGTAATCTTGCATTAGTACAGGGAGAAGGGTTATTATAATTTGTCACTTCATAAATGAAGAGAAAAAGACTTGGAGCTACTAAGTGGCAGAATATGGCTACAACTTCAGGTGTGTCTTACATGAAAGTTCATTTTCTTCTACTACCTTTCATGAAGCTTTATATCATGATACACTAGCTTAAAAGGGATCCAGTTATAAAGAAAAAAATTGAGTCATAGAATATTAATACTGAAACCCTAAGAGTTATCCAGTCTTAATTTCATTTTATAGCTAAGGAGGAAGATTAAAAGCAAGTTTCTCATGAGCTAATTCAGTTCTTTCCCTTATTAATTTTCATATTTGTATTTATCCACACCAGCTAGTAATGCTGCATGGTGGGAGGAGGATGCACAGGAGACTGAGATTGGTTTTCTAAGGCACATTCACATCTTAGCTTTCCTTGTATCAGAGCGGTCTCTTCCATTGTCTCTTCCTGTCTTGCAGGCAGCTGGTGATGCTATTTCTGACATGCTGGTGATCGAGGCAGTCTTGGCTCTAAAAGGCTTAACTGTACAACAGTGGGATGCTCTCTATACAGATCTTCCAAACAGACAGCTCAAAGTTAAGGTGGGAGCAAGATCTTAAAATTACTTTTCTAAAAATTAAAACCTATAATTTCAAATCTCACTTTATAAAAATATTTCCCAAGTGTGTCATATTATTATCTAACTGTATTTTCTCCTGTCTTTGGTTAAGAGATCTCCTGTAACTTTTAATCTATTGTTTGAGAAGTATTTTGTTTCCAAAATTATTATAAAGTGACATATATCACTTTAAAATATTTATTTTGAAAAGTTTTAAACATACATATAGAGAGAACAAAATAATGAACCCCTATGTACCCAGAGGTACATTTCCTCTATTAATATTGGTTCACAGAGTACTTCCTGGGGCTAGATGCTGAGTAGAAACCTGTGGGTTCAAAGGGAGAAAAAATTTTAAAGGCATTTTAGATAAATGGCTAATTGATTTCTGCATAGATTTATACCAGTTTACACATTCATCAATGGTTTTGTGAGAGAGAGAAAACCCAGAGTTCGCAGAAATGGCTGCTAATTGTTCAGATTAGTTTTTGGATTTAGTAGATTTTCATTATGATCCTCTTACATAATAGGTAATTCTTTTAAAAAGGGATAAGTGGCAAGCTAAGATTATTTGATCTGTGACTTAAGTCATACAGTATTTATTGGCTATTATTTTAGTGGTAACGGTAAGGCATTCTGTGGAAATATTTTTTTTTGCTAAAGGTAATTCTTTATGGACTGAAGAAACAAACTATATAAATATGTTGAAGTTAATAACCCTGATATTAGCAGAAATGAATATAATAAAATTTGAATGCAATTTCATTTTACACTTAATCTGGAACTTCACTCTCTGTATTATACTTTGTGGTATAATAAGCTGAAATGGCCATAATCCTTTGGTAGAAATTACGGTGAACAGGTTAAACGTCTAAAAGGGAGTGGAATATAATAACAGCTATGAAATGCTTTGGCATATAGGTTGCAGACAGGCAAGTGATTAGCACCACTGATGCTGAAAGGCAAGCAGTCACACCCCCAGGACTACAGGAGACAATCAACAACCTGGTGAAGAAGCACAAGCTTTCCCGTGCTTTTGTCCGGCCCTCTGGTACTGAAGACGTAGTCCGAGTGTATGCAGAAGCAGATTCACAAGTAAGCTGGCACAGTTCTACTGGAAAAATGTGCAATGAGCATCTTAATAGCAACATAGGTAGTGGGGCGGGGAGGTGGTAGTAGGAGACGAAAAGTATCTTCATAGTTTTGGAATCTCACTGCGATAAATAAGGATTTAATGTCTTTCATACTTGTTTATGGAGCATTTTAAGACTACAGAATTATTTTCCTCAGTAGTTACATAGTTGAACAAAATTACACCCACTTAATTTCCCTAAATATGTTTTTTCATTTACTCTATACTTCCTGAAAGTGTCATAATTCTAATTGTGGCCTGAATAACTAGTAGCCTGAAAATAGATAATCTCTTTTAGGCTATGTAAATTTAATGTGTTAATCTAATTTTTCTCCTAAAAAATATAACCCTGTTGCTTTATGAAAACAACCAGGTTGGACATTTATTTCTAAATCAAGTGGTACCATCATCTATGCTGCCTGAAATTCATGTTTGTCTCTGAACTCTCAATTTGTTTTTCAAAATATTTCCTTTAAATGACAGTCTTGCTCTGTTCTACTCCTGTGTTTGTGATAGGGCAAGATTTTATGGTCTAGATATTTACAGTTTGCCCTTTCAATACAGTCTTTTCTATCACCATAAATTCTTGATGTTTGCACAGCAGAGGCAAAATAGAGTAGATTGAATAGGGACTCAGAAGGAGATATTTTCAATTAATTTATACAGTAGCTGGCAGCTTTTTTGCAGAAGCCTTAGGCTATCCTAGGATATAGTGAAAATACAGGGTCCAGCACAAATAATGCGCCTTTTTTATTACAAATTTATAAGCATGTAATTCTGTAACATAACAATATCACACTCAAGTGTACCAGATGACATTTTAGGTGAAGTGTTCAAATTGCTCACTCTCTCGTGTAAGACATTCACGTACCCTACAAGCACAAGCAGGCCTTAACTTCTGCTGGACCCTGTATTTATTCACTGTATAGTGGGTGAGGAGAGGACATCCAGGGCATTAAAAGTAACTTACTCTTAGAATAATTGTGGCCTTGTTGCCTTCAAGGTCTAGGTTTCAATACATTTATTCAGTTTTGAAATAATTTTATTATCTGATTTGATTAAGAACTTACCTTATCTGGAAGACTTTGGTTTGTTTTCCATTCATTTAAGAGTCTTAGAATTTTGCTACTGGAAGATGAAAAAAGAAATGTTTTCATTTTAATATGTTAGTGAAACAGTCAGGAGGTCCCGTCCCCTTCCGTCAAAGGTGCAAGTAATATGGTAGATGCTGTCTTTCCCATCTAATCAATTCTCATGTAATTTTCAGGAAAGTGCGGATAGCCTTGCCCATGAAGTGAGCTTGGCAGTATTCCAGCTGGCTGGAGGAGTTGGAGAAAGTCCCCAACCACGTTTCTGAAGACAACTTTTATATTCCTGAGAAACTGGATTTTTAAAAAGTTTTTACATAATAATAGTACTGCCATTATTGTGACAGGTTCAAACACATGTATAATCATGTTTACTGTACCTTACTGGATTGTTTCTAGATATTATTTTTCTTAAACACTAACAGAATATTCTTTAGTAACAGCTAAGCTTATACTTGTTAAATTCAGAATATTCTTTAGTAACAGCTAAGCTTATACTTGTTAAATTCAGTTTTTTAAAAAGTGAAACATCTCTAGTTTCAGTCTCACTAATGTAAAATATTGGCGCTTACACGTGTGATTCAGTCATTAACTTTATAATATATGCTGGGAAAAATTCACGAAGCTTGCTGGAAAATTAAATCTTACTACCAACACCTTGGGATGGCTTTTCTATAGCCATTACCTAACCAGGAGGTCGTTTTGCAGTCTTCACCATTGTTGATACGGTTGGAGAGAGTAGAGACTTTATACAACCGATTTTTCCACAGCATAGTCTTCAGAATGATCCTTAAGTGACCTACCTCTGTAATTACCATCCCCAGGAACTCGGGTCTGACCGGGAGGCTATGCATCTCTGTCCTGAAGTGGAGATGCTCGTGCTACACTTACAAGGATGCAGGTCCGGGGCTTCAGTTGTTATTTACTCCTCTTAGTGAAGGTATGTGGGAGGAAACTAACTGTAATACATTACCAAGCCTCTGACAGAGAAGTGACACCATTCTGACACTAAAACGTTAATAACAAAAACGCTCCCCAACCAACCTAAATTAAGTGAAGCTGGAAACCAGTAGAAAAAAATGTGCAGTGTGTATTTTGCATATTTAAGACAATTCAGGACAATAAAACAATGGACTATATATGTAGAGATCTCTCTTAGGCACCATAATCAATATGAGCCAACAATATTTAAATGTGATTCAGGCCACAGACATTTGCTCTTATTTACAAATATTTAAATTAAATACAACCTGAAATAAGTTTTGTTACATACAAAAAAAATATACAACTCAGAGTAATGTTTGTTTTAAATGATTACATTTACATTTAAACTAAATGGAACCACTTGTGGTACTCATGTTTTTATTACCCCTTCCAGAAAATCTTTTTCTATCATCTCTTCTATTTTTTGTCTGGCTTTGCTGGAAAATGGTTTGTGGTTTTCCAGTTTCATGTCCTTGTTAGGGAAGGTGTTTGAGTAGAGGATGGGGCTCCCTGAGTGTCCTGCACATCGGCTGGTAACCTTGCTGTTGAAGACTTGGCTGAGCACGTTGAAGAACGGCAAGAGCTGCTCAATACTGCGCACAGTGCAGATGGTGAGCAGCAAGTGCCCTGGCTCCCAACCCAACGTTTTCCCTGAGTTGTCTTCCTCTGGATTTTTCTGCAGAAAACAAAACAGGAATTATTATTAACAGACAATGTAGTATATGAGAATACTTGAAAGGGTATAAACATCAGCAAACGGTTAAATTCAATTGATGACATTGCATCTGCATTCCAGACAATTCTTCTGAGGCCTTTTGGTACCAATTATTAAGTGAATATAGAGGGGTCTAACAATGTGGTATAAGGAAGCTTAACATAATTGGTTTTGGATAGGGAGAGTCAAATATTACAAGCTTATTTTGTGCTTTGCATATACTCAAAAAGCTCCCAGATTTCTGGACTCCCACTAATACAAGCAAGGACTGGGTCACAACATGGCTACAGAAGAAACCTGGAAGGGACAAAGGGTCTTATAGATAGTTCATCATTAATAAATCAGTTAATTCCTTTTTAACCAAAAGGCTTAAACTTGCCATAAAATGGCAGGAGGGCCCAAAGTGAATAACTGCCGTCAGCAAAGAGAAAGGAATGACTGCTTTTTCTGTGCTGTGCTAAACAACATGGGGAGGAAGGCTGAAATGGAGCCAGTAACTGGGTTAGTAACTGGCTCTGCTATTTATTTACTAAGCAGTATTCTTGGGCAAGGTACAGAGAAGTTCCTCACTTATAAAATGGGGGAATCTACCTTGCAGCAGTAAAGTCAAATGTGAAAATTCTGTCAACTAAATAAACACAGTTGTTAGATATCAGTCTATCTGGACAAATTTATAAGAACTAAAGACAACTTCCGGTCAAGATGGAGGCATAGGTAAACTAACTTCATCTCCTTGCACAATTACAGCAAAAATTATAACTAGACTACAAAACAAACATCACCCAGATTTGTCAGAAGATCGCGCTGTATGGAAGTCCAACAACCAAGGATTTAAAGCCACATTCATCCCAACAGGTGCCTTTTCTACAATAGGCCATGCTACTAAGACAGGAAGTCAAAGGAGCTCTATCTAATACACAGAAACAAACACAGGGAGGCTGCCAAATGAAAGAACAGAGCAAAACTACAGAAAAAGAATGAAATGAAATGGAGATAAGCAACCTACCAGATGCAGCATTCCAAAAGCTGCTTATCAGGATGCTCAAAGAAATCGCTGGGTACTGCAACAGCATAAAAAAAGACCCAGGCAGAAATGATGGTTGCATTAAAAGTGAAATAAAGAAAAATACATAGGGAACCAACAGGGGAGGGCATGAAATCAAGATTTGAATCAATGACTCTGAACATAGGAAGCAAAAAATCATTCAATCAGAACAGCAAGAAGAAGAAAGAATTTAAAAAAAATAAAGAGCCTTTGGGACATCTCCAAATGTACCAACATCCAAATCGTAGGGGTGCCAGAAGGAGAAGAGGAAAAACAAGAAATTGAAAACTTACTTGAACAGATAATGAAAAATCTTCCCTAATTTGGTGGAGGAAATAGACACACAAGTTCAGGGAGCATAGAGAGTCCCAAACAAATTGTAACCAAAGAGGACCACACCAAGACACTTCATAATTAAAATGCCAAAGGTTAAATATAAAGAGATAATCTGAAAAGCGGCAAAAGTAGAGAGTTACCTACAAAGGAGTTCTCATAACGCTGTCAGCTGATTTCTCAAAAGATACTTTGCAGGCTAGAAGGGACTGGCAAGAAGTATTCAAAGTGATGAAAAGCAAGGACCTACAATCTAGATTACTCTATCCAGCAAAGCTATCATTTAGAATGGAAGGGCAGATAAAGTGCTTCCCAGATAAGGTAAGACTGAAGGAGTTAATTATCACCAAGCCATTATTATACGAAATGTTAAGAAGATCAAAACTATGGACATTAAAATGGCAAGAAATTCACAACTACCAACTGAATAAAAAACTAAGCAAACAATGAGAACAGGAATAGAATCAAAGATATGGAGATAATTTGGAGGGTTATCAGCTGGAATGGGGAAAGGGAACAATGAGGGAAAAGATGCAGGGATTAATAAGCATAAATTAGTAGGTACAAAATAGGGGAATGTGAAAAACAGTAAAGGTAATGGAGTAGCCAAAGAACTTGTTCACAGCCCATGGACATGAAGTAAGGGAAGGACTGCGAGAGGGAATGGGGAACCAGCCAGGCACAGGGGGCAAAGGGGGAACAGTTGGACAACTGTAATAGCATAATAAAATATATTTTAAAAAAACTAAAGATGTTTGAACTTGGGCAGATTCATAGATATGAAAACATGGTGTAGAGATAATGAAAACAATAAATGGATTAAAAAGAAATCAAGTGGGATTTAGGAAACATAATTACAATCTGTCATATTGGTTACAAATGGAGTTTCCCTTCTAAGATCAGATGTTGCCAAGTTACTTTCATTGTTTACCTATCACTAGTTTCCTAGTGGAGAAAGGAGATGCAAAATCCATCTTATTTTCTTACATGTGCTCACAGATTTGTTTGCTTATTTAACAAAAAAATCCTGAGAAGGGAAAATAAATTTAAGTTGAAACAGAAGACTAAGGAGTAAGCAAGAAAAGACCATCTAATGCTTTATGGCCCAAACCCTCCAGCCATCTCTTAATATGTTAGCGGTTATTTAACCTGCACTCTTATTTATAGGGTATTGAAAACCATCTTCCTTTCTCTTAACTGTAACACTTGCTTTAATTACAGTATTGGGACTGACTTTCACATCATGGACTATCATTAAATTGGCTGACCATCTTTAGTTCCCTAAATCAAACTGCAATTCAGTATTAATTAAAAGGTATACAGCATTATCCTGAAGTAAAGTGAGTAATATATCTGAACCCTCTACATAACTTTTCCAATGTAAGAGAACTAAGGTTTATGTTCTTGTCCAGCCGTACCTTTGAGAGTGGGATTTTTACTAAGCCCTTGACCGAGAAGAATGACTTGTTTTAGTGTTCTGTTTTTCTTATTCAGAACCACCTCCCTCAATAAAAAATTAAAAAGTCAAACATGTTTCCATACAAACGAATTGTCCTTTCATTTCACCAATCTATACTTGAAGAAAGATTCCTTTCCTCTTTACCTCTCTTGTACTTGCTGAAATTCAGACCTGGGTTTGTATCTCAGTGTTTGGTCCAGATGTGGCAGCTTTTGCTGCCATATCACAAGCATCAAAAAGCCACCCTCACCTGATGCTTGGTCATCTCCATTCCCTCCAAAATCACTGTCTTAAAGTCCTCCTCCTTGTCCTGTGGAAGGAAAGAGGAGAACTCATAGCCTTTGTTTCATGAAAAGCATGCTTGGCCTTGAAGACCTTGTTTATAGTGTTTTGGGGAAATGCTTTCCAGTCAAAACTGTTTTCTCATTTTCTAGGACAAGTTTTAGACAAAAGACTGTCATGTTCATTCCTCAGCTACAGGAAGAGTCTTATAAAAATGCTCATTACAAATGAGATGCAGGGACGACAGTGTAGATGTGCTTGGGGTCATATATAAATACCTTGTTTCCGGATTTGCTATCATGAATATTTTTTCAAACCCTGTGATATCAAAATGAATGTACTTAAGTCCTACCCTAAACCCTGATTCCAACCTTCATCTTCATTTTTTGTCCTTTTACTTGGTTCTAAAGAAATAACTTGATTATAAAATCAAATTCCTTATATCCATCAAGTACTCTTAATCACTTTCCTCCATTCCATTTTCTACAATTTGTGGAATGTTGGTTAGGAGCTGCTGCCTGAATAGGGTACCCCAGAAAAACTGGAAAATTTCTGAGCACTCAAAGCACATTCTGAAAATTAGGACTCAAAAGACAACCCAGATTATTCCCAAACTG